CCAAACCCCTGTTTGTCCACTCCGTTGATGATGACGTGGACTCGGCCTGTCGGGATTTGGTACACGTCGCGTAGCATTTCTCCGCAGCTGTCGCTGATCGCCACGTGGTGCGCGTAGCTCGGGAAGAAGCGAATTTCGTTGAGGACTTTCGGGATCATCCCCTGAAGGCTGGCATTGAAAGCAGGGGACATGGGCTCGTCGGGCTTTCGGGCCAAGTCTTGGTAGATGCTCGATTGGACGCTCTCGAGCGCGATCCCGTGCCAAGACACGACTAGGTTCGGGAGCCCGCGGGCCAGAAAGAAGGGGAGGGCTACGCTCTCCGAGTGGATCACGTCGAATGGTTCTCGTCGGTTTTCTTCTACGAATTGTTCCCATGCTTTGTTGTAGCGCCACTTGTCAGGCTCGCCCTCGTGCCAGTGCACGACAGGCGACGATTGCGCTCTCTGTTCACGATGTAAGAAAAAATAAAAATTTATTAGAAATGGCAAAGTATATGAAATAATTAATGTAGATGAATAATGATGCTTTTAACACAATATTTTGAGATTTATGAATTGTTGAATTTCAAGTTGATGTAGATGAGTTTTGTCTGATCGAAAATATCTGTACCTGTTGTTGTGTGTCCGGCGTGGAGGCTCGGCCAGCCGTAGGGGACGTGAAGACGTGGACTCGGTGGCCGCGTCGAGAGAGGGCGGTGTGGAGTGTGTAGGCGTGTCGCTCCATGCCGCCAGGATTGGCGGCGGTGGGCCACTTCCGAGAAAAGACGGCGATCCGGAGGGTGACCCGTGGGCCGGGGGATTCGAGGTCGAGCTTGTTCCACGCGAACTCGGCTAGCCGGAGGTCCCCGGACCAAGGGCGGTGATCGGTGGCGGAGATGTAGACGGACGGGGTGTGGAGGAGGAGGAGGGCCGGGACGGTGAAGACGACGATGAAGAAGAGGGTGATAGCAAGGTTGGAGTGGAGGTTGAGGAGTGGTTTTTTGGGCTTGGTGGTGGTGTTGGTAGCCATGGCTTTGTGGAGAGTTGTGAAAATAAAGTCATGGAGATTTTAAGAGGAAGTGAAGAGAAAAGGCCTTGTTTTTTGGGGGAAAGTTTAGGCAAGAATGAAGCAAAGTGTGTGTGTGTGTGTGTGTTGAATTTAATTTTTGTTTGGCTTTTTTTTTTAAGTGTGGTAGTCACGTCCCATGTGGGGAGGGGTAACATGTTACATGTGTGTGTAAGTGTGAGTTTAAATTAATAAATTTGAAGGTTTCCACGCTATTTTTTTTTTTTTTTTACATGGACCTTTTGGTTTCCGGATCTACAGGGGAATCAATTAATTCGGAATCGAGCCGGGTAGGACCACAAGGGCTCTCCCTCAAGAGTTTGCATTCTCAAGGCTCGAACACGAGACCACTAGTTAAGTTGAAAGAGACCTAAGCCATCTCATACAAACGCTCTTGGTGTTTTCACGCCATTTGACTAGCTTGAAAGATGCATTTTACTGTAGAATCCAAATCACCCCTATATATAATTTCCGAATGCGTTGAGCCTACGTGGCTGCTTCTGGTGCTTCGGAATCCTACTTGGCGAAGAATCATGCTTCGTAATTAGGTTCGGACAAATAAATTGATATATTAATAATTAATATCTAGGTTCGGACATTCCATAAATATTATTTAGCTAACTTAGGTATTATAATATCATTTGTACTAATATAACCCTTTAACTATTTGTAATTTTACATAGTGAGACACTAAGTGACTAATATATCACTGACTTTTGATTTGTTTCCTTCAATTAGCTATTGAATTATAAATGTATTCTAAAAGTTGATAACTTTTGTATTTCTTGTCGGTTTTACATATATAATATATCAAATTAATCATCTTTTCATGATCTTCGATTTGACATCCATATTGTATATATAAAATAAATAAATAATATTTACCTTTATAATAATAAATACCAATATTTATTAAATTTTATTAAAAAATAAAAATTATTTCTCAGTTGATATATTTTTGTTTAATGTAGTTATATGTTGTAAGTTAAAAAAATTATTATAATATAACACAAGTAAGTCACACAAATAAAAAGTGTCACACTAAATATATAATAAAATATATTTTTATAAAAGTTATTTAAATTTTCAACTACTTTTTCTCAATAATTTTATATTTTAAGGAAAAATTAGCAAGCACCCGTGTAATACACGGGCATTGTACTAGTTTCTTATTATTCCCCAAAAGCAGCCTCTAGATTGGTCCCTAACTCTTTAATATATCAAATTCATAAATAAATTAGGTTTAGGCCATTCAAGTTGTGGAAAATCACAATGGCTCAAACTATATTTATTTATAATTTTATTGTACACCTATATTCCTATTAGAAAATTCAAAATAAATTACGTATTTCTTTTTAGGGTAGTCAGCCACGGCATTCGGAGCTATGTCACGACTAATCCGTTGATCGTCTCGGGTCGCATACCTGACAGTGGTAGGTGAGTCTTCCAACAAAGGTTTTCTGCATCCACAAGGACTCGAACCCGAGACCTTGCCTAAGATACACACATCAAGCTGCTTACTACTTAAGCCAATCATGTTATAAAATAAATTACGTATTTCAACAATAAATTTAAATTTGTAACAATATAATTAATAATTAATTAAGGCTGGACAGCACCTTTTTCTCCCAAAGTCAACGAGTCGATTAAAGTAAATCAGACGAATCTGAATGTGCATTTTTTGGACTTGATATCATGGTCAACGATTGCTAAACCAATATATTATTATTTTCAGTATTTTGTGATGCAAGGAAAATTTTGATGACTTTTGTGGCTATTTTATTTCTTCACGCGTACTTAAAGTTGATATAAGGTAGTAAATAAAATATTTTATTTCTAAGGTAGTATAATAAATATAAAAAAAATATGGGATTGATGAAACAGCTACAATCCTGTCACGAAATAGTTCCGTGAAGATTTTTAACCATTAAATATACAGTCATTGTAGATAAATGAAAGTTATATATTTATAATGACTGAAAACCCCTCACGGAATTATTCTGCGACCAGATAATAGCCTTTTAATCGGTCATTATCTCGAATTTTTCGGCAAGCAAAAAATCACTGGGCTTTTAGGAGTTTTTGTAACACAAGCCATTTGTAGGTCCATCTTTTACATTTCTGTATTTTACCTCAAATTGGGTAAAAAGCCCATCGTCATATGTTGTGGCCCAGAGATTCCAATTTAATGTTGGGCTGCCATCGACTAGTCCAAATAGAACTTTGATCAGCCCACTGGACACAGGGGTCAATTTGCAAATAAACCCAATTTCTAAGGACCAATTAGCAAGTTTGCAGAGCTGGAGCGCAATCAATCCGAGACCAAGCAACGAAAAAGAAGCTCCACCAGTACACAGGGACATTTTCGTCAATTTACGACCACCGAAAAGTGAAAAACGCCGGATACGTGAGCTAGCCGTTGCGACTCCATAGACAAAAAAAACCTCTGAGTATTCATTTCTTTCACTAAAACAATACCAAGAAAAATAGAAAAAAAAATGGACGATTTTTTCTCTGACAGCGACGGCGAGAAAGCGGTGGAGGAGCTACTTTCGCAGGCTATGGACTCCACGGTGCTCGAGCAAGTGGCCGCAATCAACTGCGCCGGGTTCACCGGCGCCGGCCTCCCCTCCCACCTCGAGACCCGCTTCCACCGCCTCAAGTCCCTCCCGCCGCCGGCCGCTCCGAAACCGCCAGCGTCCTTATCGTCGAAAAGCTTCGACCTTTCGCGCCCGGCAGAGCCGGAACAACCCAGTACACACGAAGAAAAGAAGGTGCCCGCCACCCGTTCGACGAAATTCCCAGAAGAAAAAAGTTCCCCACCCGACGCCGGAGGGAGCCCCTTTTCATCCCTGGAAGAGAATGGGAGAAAAATGGAGAAAAGGGGGAGAAGGGAATCGGTGTCCTCATCTTCCTCTTCGTCGTTTTCCAGCCAGTCGGTCTCGCCTCCAGCGAAAGGCGGCTGCTTTATGTGTTCCCCCAAGAAAATTCCGTCAAGGAAGAAGAAGAACAAGGAGAACAGGGGTTTGGATTTGGGGCTCGATTGGGGGAAAAACGACGATAAGCTTTTGTCCGACCTGAGTAATTTTTCTGTGAAAAGTCAGAGGAAGATGATGAAGAAGGCCATGGAGGAAGAGGAGAGGGTCTGCAGGGAAGCTGAGAAGATTGTGAATTGGGCTAAACAAGCTTCTGCAAGAATGGATGTTACAGGCATTGAAGATGAGCTAAGTGATGATGAAAAATGGTAGATTTCACTAGTTTGATCTGTTTTTTTTTTTTGCTGTGCATGTTGTTGTGTTATACTTGCATGTTGTGTTAATTGTTATACTTGAATATGGAATCTTGTGATCTGCTTTGAGGGGTTTAGTTATATAATATATACATATTTTGTTATCATACTTAATTGTGGATTGTGGATTGTTGTGCTATGCTTTGAGGGCTTTAGTATGATATATATACAGAGGATATTGCTTATATATATATATATAGATAGTATAGGGTAAGGTGTGACTGTTCAATGATGTTATTTCTAACATCTATGAATATCCCATGAATGTTGTATCATTTTTTATCTGAAATATAAGAGTTCTTTTACAACAACTTTATTATATTCATATTTATGTTTGTGTGTAGTCGGTCAATCTTGAGAGTACCCAATTTCAAAGTAGTTTTTATCGAAGACTTGTGTATTTGTATTACCGTTATTTAAACCGTATCTAGAAGGCGTTGGCAGTAAAATGTTGGTATTTTACGCATTTGTTTTGCCTTAAAGAAAGTTCATATTTACGTTCCCTCGATTTTGTATTTTTACTCGATTTTCTTTTTATTTACTTAGTTACTTATATACCGAATCTCAAGATTTAGAGAAATCATAATTTTAGTTGAAAGAAAAAAAAATGTGTTATTAGATGATGATAGCATTACATAAATCTAATACGATGCATATATCCAACTCCGATGCAGTGGAAAATATATTTCCATTCAGCAGGGAGATGCTAATTTGGTAATGTGATTTATTTAAAAAAAAAAATAAAAAATCGTATGATGGATTCCTCAAACAGAAGCTAATGAGCCGAACTCGAGCTTCTGATACTCGAGCTCAGCTTCAGGCCTTTATCAAGTCGAGCCAGACTAGGCTAGCTCGTTTACCGAACAAGCTGATAATCTAGCTTAGGCTTGGCTGGTGTATTAATATTTACATGCAGAGATGAGAGAAAAATTCAAAAAACTTTGTAAAATTCATATTTTCGGGCCTTTTGGCCTCGTTTATTAAACAAACTAAGCTCAGATCGAAGCTTAACAAGTTGAGTTCATGAGATTGTTTAATATGACAACAATTAAAAGCTCTACTTGCAATTCCCTATCCTCTCTGAATCTAAAGTTAATCGTGCTTTACCATTATGTTCTTAAAAAGCATATAATGAAAGTTAGGGGTAGTTTAACTGTTTAAGTAAACACCAACCACCTTTCAAGGTTAGATTAACTGTAACCTTTCAAGGTTAGCAAGTAATTAACTTTTTAAAATCTTGGGGTTAACTCAAACAAGAGTACACCAAGAAGTCATCACCTTCAAGAAACTAGCCGAAGGAGTAGCCGAAGGAGTGTTGAAATATCATTTGTGAGTTGTCTCACATTGATTCTACAGGGAAAATGAGTTTAGTATATAAGCCTAGTAGATTGGTTTTGGGATGGAACCTCACTAAGGTGCACTAGTGCGCTTCACCTGGTGGGACCGCACTCTCTTCCCCCGGTTCTAATAAGGAGGAATCGGAAAAGACCTCAACATCTTGAATCAAACAACAAAATCTTTTCCTCAACAACTTGGGACTCTTGAATCAAACAACAAAATCTAATAATCTATTTCGTTGAGCTCTAAAACTATTCTAATTGTGAAAAACATGGACTTCCACCACTCACACTATTACAATTATTAGTAAATTATTACCATTATTAGATTTTCATTAATTAATAATATAGTTTAAGTCACATCTCATGAATCATTTCTGTAGAAATTTCAAAAACCATTTTGAGTCCCTTTTTTCACTAGTGTTGGTCTATTTTGAGATGGTTAGTTATAATATATAGATTGATGTGATTGTAGCTTTCCGTGTGAAATTATAGTTTTGGGATTACATAATTAGGTGAAAGCTTTCACTTTTCATAAATGGGCTACTTAAAAAGTTCTCAATTATTCTGCTATGAGTGAGAAATTATGGCATAATTTAATTTTTAGTTCATGATATTGACATTCACCTACAAAAGAAAGTGTTATATTCCAACAGAAAATTCGATGGTAATATATTTCAATGGAAATTCTAACGGATATTCTAATGGTATAGCTTCAGTTGGAATGGTTTCGACGAAAATTCCAACAGAAATATTTCGTTGTAATGTGTTTTTCATTGGAGTTTTAGATGAAATTTGATGATTCCAACGACTTTTTACTGTAGAAATTTTCGTTGGTATATGCAATTTCCGTTGGAATTGTAAAAATCCAACGGAAATACTAATGGAAAATCAATTCCAACGGAATATTTTTGTTGGAATTTTCGTTAGAATCCATTGAAAAATTCCAACGGAAATAATAACATTGAATATCCACTGGAATTGTTGTTGGAATAATTATATTGCAATACATTTTCGTTGAAATTTCATTATTTTCTTGTAGTGATTTTTTTTCGGCAAAAATTTACCTTTTTGGCAGACATTAACTTAGTAGATTAATTTTTTTTTAAAAAAAAAATATCACATGAGGTACACTGATCATTAGTGACATGATAAGGACTGGATTATTTCAGTTTATCACGGGCTTGGCGTCGGCCGATCATGACCAATAATGAGTCGAAAATGTAGAGCATGTTAGGATATGAAATTTTTTGATTTTGTTAGATAAGGTTTGGTGTGGTTAATTTGAAAAATATAGTATGGTTAATTGTTAGTAGGTATATTAAAATAATATTAAAGTAAAATAATTAAAAATTTGATGTGATAGTTAGTTAAAATAATGTGAGTGAATGACTAGTGAATTAAGGTTGATGTGGTGTATATGAATGATTGATTGATATTATTTAATGCCTGCAACTGGCTTGGGATAAGGGGTACCGCCAAGTTGTTGCCGAAATTGATAGTCAGTGCGTGGTGAGGATGGTGCTTTCTGAGGATAGAGCGGATGGCGAGAATGGTGCCTTGGTGAAGGCCGTCCAAAGTTTGATCCAGCGCGAGTGGAACGTTAAGGTAGTGCACGTGCATAAGGAAGCTAATTTTGCAGCGGACCATTTAGCGAGCTTGGCGGCTTCGTGCCCGATTGGAATGCAGAGGTTGACTTCACCACCGCTAGCATTAGCACATGGCTTGACCATGACATTATTGGAGTCTCGTACGCTAGCTTAAATTAGGCCTTGAGCCTCCTTTTTTGTACCAAAAAAATAAAGTTAGTTAAAAAAATAGTTGAGTTATAATGTTGAATTTTTTTTTTTGAGATTCCTTGTATACAAACATGCTCGTAGTTTTTGCATATAACTTTAGACATGCAATTGACAGAGAAAACGAAATCCAATTGCTCGACGAGAAGTATTCAATGGTAGATCACGTACTTGAATTAGACTTGAGACGACACCAGAATTAGATCAATAATTGAACAAATTAAATTATTCTAAACGAAAAATTGAGTAGGAAAACAAAATTTAGTGGAGTTACAAATTAGTGGTCAGGACCGTCTTGATAAGACAAATTCAACGGTGAGGTGCCCTACTAGAATACAAGAGGAAATAATGCCCCTAAATAGCGAAATACAAATATGGGCTAAAATGATTTTTGACGATAAATTGAACAGACATAAAAACTCCAACTGGTAACAAATTTGGTGAGTACGACTAATTCGACAAGAAAAATCCGATAGTGGGTCGCCACCTA